TTTTTTTTTACCTTCAGGGCCTTATAAGCCTATACTGGTGTTTTTAAAAGTTATGTTTGACTTTATGCGTTTCTGTATCATTTCTGGGATGCTTAGAACTCAAATTACACTGTTGGAAATCGTTTATTTTGATGCACATGCTGTTTTTTTTGCAGCAAGTTGGGAAAAGAAAAACTATAGCCAGCCGAAGAAATAGCAGTCTTTCACACAAGGCTCTTATGAGAAAACGTCCAAGCGCCATAAAAAAACCACAGGAGCCGTCTCGCATTACATTTGTAAATTCATGGCCCCTGTTTATGTAGTTGAGAAGGACAGCTTTCATGACCTCGTCAAAGTCCTTGATCTGAGGTACGTTATGCCCGGTCGTAAGCACTTCAGTAAAGTCGAGTTGCCTCGCTTATATGACGCATGCCGGGCCAAAGAAGAGAAGGATGTTTGCAGTGTTGTGCATTATGCTTTGACGACTGACCTATGGACGGGCAGAGATGCGCAGTCCTACATGAGCATAACCATCCATTTCATTAACACTGACTCCACCCTCTGCGCTCGCTGTTTACAGACTGCATACTTTCCATATGACCACAGGTCAGGTGGTATATTGTGATATATATCGTTATCGTGATATAAAATAATTCATATCGTGATAAATATTTTTTCCATATCGCCCAGCACTAGCTGCTACAAACCGATATCGGACAAGTTATTAAGTTAGTCAGCAAATACACATACAAAATATTGTCAGTTGAAGATTAAAGCACCTACCAATATTTATTTTTTTCTCACAAGTTATTATTTAAGCAAGACTGAACCTCTGTACTAATGAAATCCAGCACTGTGGGGCTTTTAAACAAGGCAGTTAAACCTTGTTTGGGTTCACAAGTTATGGTTATGGAGGAATCCAGATCATTCATCCGTCCTCCCGAGAACACAACAGTTCTGTGTCCTCGGGCAAAGTTTCAGCAACTGCGCTCATTGTGAGACAGTGTCTGCTTGTCCACATCCACCCCTCCCACGTTCACACACACCAGCAGAGAAATAGTTGTTGGAAGTGAGAAATGTGTGGCAATCAGTTGCTTGGCTGCGCAGTGAGAAGAGGAAGCAATAACACAAACACGCTCCCTGCAACGTGACTTCAAAGATTGTGTGTTGCCTGCTTTCTGTAACTTCATGGGTGTTGGATCACCATCTTTTACTTGAAACTTTGTTAGTCTGCAACTATGTGGCCCCTCCAGGCTCTTCTCCTGCCCCTCAACAGAACCCTTACTCCAAAAAAACATCAGAGAAACCAGTGATGTCATTCAATGTTCCGCTAACAAGGAGCAGCGGTGACTCAGAGTATTTAGTCAGTCCTCCAGTGAAACTGCCCGTCAGACTCGTGTTCCTCCAGTTAAACCTGGTCTGTCTGTCTGCTGCTGAAGGCACGATGGTATTTGCTCAGACTTGCCAAATCCTGGTCAGAAATTTAAGTCTGATAAGAAAAAGGATGAGTTATATGCAATTATACAAGCCAAAATCTAGCCTGTTCCAGAAATGCCACTGAAGTTATTAAATGTGTTGCGTGGAGCTCACTGAGGATGAGACATGTCGGCGTGGTGGCTGCTGTTTACACAGTTCAGTGTTGAAACAGACTATGCAACTGCAGGTTTAGTCAAACAGCAAGCAGCATGTACTCTGTGTGCATGGGGCTGCCGTGAGACAACGACATTCCAATGATTCATTCAATTAGTGTAACAATATCGCGCAGAGAGCTACGTTGAGGCTTATCAAATTGGCTGTTCATTCATAAAGCAAGCCAAAAATTTACAGGTTATGAAATCTTATCTGAAATCGCTCACATTCTTCTCCACAATCACAGTCAAAGTCATGATGGTTTCCTGGCTGCAGAGATCGAGTTTAGTTTTGGATCAGATAAGAAGTAAACAAAACACCGCTTCCTCTTGGTGTTCACATTTGTGCTTGTGTTTCCATAGAAATGGCAGAGGCCCACCAGGCAGTGGCATTCCAGTTCACCATAACACCAGAGGGCATCGATCTGCAGCTGTCCTACCAGGCGCTGAACCAGATCTACCTGTCTGGAGTACGATCCTGGAAGAAGCGAGTCAGCCGCGTGAGGGTGAGCATCACAACCCCAGACTAATCAGGCTGTGTACGATTTATTGAAAAAAAAAAAGTTGTTTAATGTTCATTTAAAGCATTTATTTCATTAGAATGTTCAAAATGCAAAATTGTACTAGTTTGATAATTGTTGTTGGGGGGGGACAAAGGTATGAGAATCCCATAAATGTTTAATGCTTGGAGGAGACTCCAGGTGGAATGGGTGGCACATATAGAACGCCAGGACTGCCATAATGAAATAATTAAATACACCATTAAATAATTAATTAAATGTGGCAATATTTAATTAAAATTGGAATTAATTAATTAAATAAATAGTTATGACACAT